AATTCCACTGACAATGTGTGAATTAGCTCTCCACTAGCTGTATTGTGGCCTTCCCTGTAGCTCAGACAGTAAAGAATCTGCCTGCAATATGGGAGACCTGGGTTTGATCCCTGGGTTGGGACGATCCCCTAGAGAAGGAAATGGCAACCCACTCCAGTATTCTTGCCTGGAGAATTTTTGCCTGGAAGAGGAGCCAGGTGGGCTACAGTCCATGGGGTCACAAAGAGTTGGACATGACTGAGAGACTAAACAAGAGAGTTCCAGAAAAACATCTATTTCTGCTTTAGTGACTATGCCAAAGCCTTCGACTGTGTGGATCACCACAAGCTGTGGAAAATTCTGAAAGAGGTGGGGATACCAGACCACCTGACTTGCCTCTTGAGAAACCTGTATGCAGGTCAGAAAGCAACAGTTTGAACTGGACATGGAACAACAGACTGGTTCCAAATAGGAAAAGGAGTACGTCAAGGCTGTATATTGTCATCCTGCTTTTTAACTTATATGCAGAATACATCATGAGAAGCGCTGGGATGGAAGAAGCACAAGCTGGAATCAAGATCCCCAGGAGAGATATCAATAACCTCAGATATGCAGATGACACCACCCTTATGGCAGAAAGTGAAGAGGAACTAAAAAGCCTCTTGATGAAAGTGAAAGAGGAGAATGAAAAAGTTGGCTTAAAGCTTAACATTCAGAAAACTAAGATTATGGCATCTGGTCCCATCACTTCATGGCAAATAGAAGGGGAAACAGTGTCAGACTTTAATTTTGGGGGCTCCAAAATCACTGCAGATGGTGACTGCAGCCATGAAATTAAAAGACACTTACTCCTTGGAAGGAAAGTTATGACCAACCAGATAGCATATTAAAAAGCAGAGACATTACTTTGTCAACAAAGGTCCATCTAGTCAAGGCTATGGTTTTCCCAGTGGTCATGTATGGATGTGAGAGTTGGACTGTGAAGAAAGCTGAGCGCCAAAAAATTGATGCTTTTGAACTGTGGTGTTGGCGAAGACTCTTGAGAGTACCTTGGACTGCAAGGAGATCCAATCAGTCCATCCTAAAGGAGATCAGTCCTGGGTGTTCATTGGAGGGAATGATGCTGAAGCTGAAACTCCAATACTTTGGCCACCTCATGGGAAGAGTTGACTCATTGGAAAAGACCCTGATGCTGGGAGGGATTGGGGGCAGGAGGAGAAGGGGACGACAGAGGATGAGATGGCTGGATGGCATCACTGACTCGATGCACATGAGTTTGAGTAAACTCCGGGAGTTGGTGGTGGACAGGGAGGCCTGGCGTGCTGCGATTCATGGGGTCTCAAAGAGCCAGACACGACTGAGCAACTGAGCTGAACTGAACTGAGAGACGAAGGACAGCACAGCTGCATTGTAACAAATTATTCCAAATTTTGGCTGCTTCAAAGAAGCACTTACTTCTGTGAGTCAGTAACCTGAGTGTGGCTTAGCTGGCTCAGTGTTTTTTGTCGGGTTGCTGGGAAAGATCTTCCAAGCTCACTCATGGTTGTTGGTAGAATTTAGCTTTTCCTGGGCTGTTGCACTGAGGCAGTTTCTTATCACGTGGGCCTCTCATTAGGGCAGGTCACAGCAGGCAGCTGGCTTCCCTGAGAATAAGCAAGGAAGAGAGCCAAAGAAAATGTCCAGGACAGTCTTTTTATAACCTAATCTTGGAAGTGACATCCTATTGCTTCCACTGTATTTTATTCTTTAGAAGTGAGTCAGTAAGTCTATACTTCTTTCTCAGGAAAGAAGAGAGAGAGAGACATGTGAAAATCAATCATAAGGTGGGAATATATGGGGCCATCTTAGAAGCTGCATACTATGTGTGGGCTTCCCAGGTGGCTCAGTGATAAAGAATCCGTCTGCCAAAGAAAGAGACGGGAGTTTGATCTTTGGGTTGCGAAGATTCCTTGGAGAAGGAAATGGCAACCCACTCCAGTATTCTTGCCTGGGAAGTCCCACAGACAGAGGAACCTTACAGGGCTACTATCTGTGGGGCCGCAAAAAGAATCAGACATGATTTATTGACTAAAAAAAAAAAAAGCAAACATAATGTGTTCATTTGTATGTGGGTGGGTGGGTGTATATGTGTGTTTTAGGGATGGTGGGCAGTCAGTGGTTGCACATGGTATGGGCCAAAAGAGTAAGAGTTCTTATGAATTTTCCTGTTAAGAGTAGTGGAGAGTTAAAATGGTAGTTGTCCCTACAGGAAATATATGACATTCACAAATTGAGAATTTGAGCCAGCTTAATAAAGTGACTCTTTCCAAAGGTGTGGTAAGTTAGGTACAGAGAAATTACAAGGAATAGTGCATTACCTGAGAGGTTGAGACAGCTTGGTGTATCACTCTCCTGAGGTCTGAAGCAGCATGAGGAGCGGTTACCAGAACTGGGAGAGGGTTTTGTATGAGAAGACCCCAGGACAGAAGCCATGACTTTTCACCTTATGAAGCAGTCAGCCAATGGCATCTCAACAGGGAGGGTGCCAGGGGAATAAATACACTGAATCACTCTCCTCCACCCTTCTGCTGGTACCACCCACTGGCAGAACTCAACAAGAAGCCAGAAGGAAAGATAGCCACTAATATGGTCAATACAGCCCAGTCTCCAACCACACACAGTAATGTGAGAACAGCAGAGAGCAGACTAGGAGTACAGCCCAGTCTCCAACCACACACAGTAATGTGAGAACAGCAGAGAGCAGACTAGGAGGACAGTGAGAAGATACCCAGTACAGATTTCAAGCATCATGATGAACAAAGCTAGTGTATGTGATGGAATTCCAGTTGAGCTATTTCAAAACCTGAAAGATGATGCTGTGAAAGTGCTGCGCTCAGTATGCCAGCAAATTTGGAAAACTCAGCAGTGGCCACAGGACCGGAAAAAGGTCAGTTTTCATTCCAGTCCCTAAGAAAGGCAATCCCAAAGAATGCTCAAACTACCACACAATTGCACTCATCTCACACGCTAGTAAAGTAATGCTCAAAATTCTCCAAGCCAGGCTTCAGCAATACGTGAACTGAGAACTTCCAGATGTTCAAGCTGGTTTTAGAAAAGGCAGAGGAACCAGAGATCAAATTGCCAATATCTGCTGGATCGTCAAAAAAGCAAGAGAGTTCCAGAAAAACATCTATTTCTGCTTTATTGACTATGCCAAAGCCTTTGGCTGTGGGGATCACAATAAACTGTGGAAAATTCTGAAAGAGATGGGAATACCAGACCACCTGACCTGCCTCTTGAGAAACCTGTATGCAGGTCAGAAAGCAACAGTTAGAACTGGACATGGAACAACAGACTGGTTCCAAATAGGAAAAGGAGTATGTCAAGGCTGTATATTGTCACCCTGCTTATTTAACTTATATGCAGAGTACATCATGAGAAACTCTGGGCTGGAAGAAGCACAAGCTGGAATCAAGATTGCCAGGAGAAATATTAATAACCTCAGATATGCAGACGACACCACCCTTATGGCAGAAAGTGAAGAGGAACTAAAAAGCCTCTTGATCAAAGTGAAAGAGGAGAGTGAAAAAGTTGGCTTAAAGCTCAACATTCAGAAAACTAAGATCATGGCATCTGGTCCCATCACCTCATTGGAAATAGATGGGGTGACAGTGGAAACAGTGAGAGACTTTCTTTTTTTGGGCTCCAAAATCACTGCAGATGGTGACTGCAGCCATGAAATTAAAAGATGCTTACTCCTTGGAGGAAAAGTTATGACCAACCTAGATAGTATATTAAAAAGGAGAGACATTATTTGCCAACAAAGGTCCGTCTGGTCAAGGCCACGGTTTTTCCAGTAGTCATGTATGGATGTGAGAGTTGGACTGTGAAGAAAAAGCTGAGCGCTGAAAAATTGATGCTTTTGAACTATGGTATTGGAGAAACTCTTGAGAGTCCCTTGGACTGCAAGGAGATCCAACCAGTCCATCCTAAAGGAGATCAGTCCTGGGTGTTCATTGGAAGGACTGATGCTGAAGCTGAAACTCCAATACTTTGGCCAGCTCATGGGAAGAGTTGACTCATTAGAAAAGACCCTGATGCTGGGAGGGACTGGGGGCAGGAGGAGAAGGGGACGACAGAGGATGAGATGGCTGGATGGCATCACTGACTCGATGGGCATGAGTTTGAGTGAACTCCGGGAATTTGTGATGGACAGGGAGGCCTGGAGTACTGCAATTCATGGGGTCGCAAAGAGTCGGACACTACTGAGTGACTGAACTGACTGATAGATTTCAATGGAGTGCATATAAGGAAAACCATATCCTTAATAGGGAAAAATGAAGAAACAGTCTTCCATGACTAGGTATTATTTAGTGCAAGCTAGATGGAAGAGTTTGCTGACAGAGAAAGGTATTTAATATCAGAACAGGCTTTCATATAATTGCATCTCTTGAAGATCCTCAAAAATGGGAAACATGCATCCACCTCTATGAAAAGATTTGGGCAAAACTGTACTGATGAAAGAAGCATGGGTAGCTAAGATGACTTTGAAGGGTCCTTGTAACTTGAGGATTTGGCATTCCAGGAGGAGGGATGGAAATCAGGGAACTGGATCTCCTGCAAAATATTCACAACTCTTTGAAATGGAAATGAGGCTCTTCCTATTTAGGAATCAAATTAAAGCAAGTATTCAGGGTGTTAGCAGGCTGTGCTCCTGCTTGTTTGAAGTGGCAGCTAAAGGAGGGAGGTGTGCTTTTCCCTGGATGAAGCAGGATCTCGCTCAGCCTGTTTTCATCTTTACTTAGCACCTGCTGGCCAGGAGTGGTGTCGCCCGAGCAATCAGACAGTAGACGTGCCAAGAGTCTGACCTCCCCGTGTCTGCTGCCCCTCCCCCAAGCCCCATGACACCTCTCCTGATATAGATGGACAGGGATTGGTTTAAAATGACAGTCTCAAGTTCGTGTAGGAAGAGAAAGGTAATTCAAAGAAACTCTCAGGCAAGCTTCCTCTCTCTGTAGGAATAATTATTATCCCCTTTCACCATGGCCCACCTGGGAGCCCACTTTGCCTTCAGATCCCGCTGGCAGAAGACCGATGATGAACTCTGTCGACATAGCATGTCCTTTATTCTTCACAGAGCCATTTGCAATGACTTCTTTCAGAGCTATCTCTACCTGCTGGAAAATATTCCCCTGGGTAAGTGAGTCAGAGCTCCTAGATAAGGGATAAGAAATGACTGGAGCCACTGTGTGAGGTTGTGGGACTTTTCCAAAAGGAATTAGAACAAGGACACTTTTCAGATAAAAAGGACCCACAACCATTTAAATGGCTTAAATGTTTCAATGGCATTCTTTTATGGAGAGTGCAAAGATCAAGTGCTGCCTGGAAGGTCAAGCCTCTATTTTGGGACTTCCATGCACCTCAGACATGAGTAACTTGCTTCTCTGGGTGTTAGTTGTCTGAATATCAGGCTTGTAGAAATGAATTTCTTGAGTTTGAAAGGACATTTTTTATATTTGCAAAAATTTAGAGGTGAGTAAATTAAGTAACTCAAAGATGAGAGTATTAATGCAATAGCATATCAACTAAGAATTAAAAAGAATGGCTAAACAATAATAGATCAAGGTTGTTGGGGTGAGTGTGTGTGTGTGTGTGTGTGTATGTGTCTGCATGTGTATGCATGAGCGCACACTCCACATAATGCTTTCTGGCCTTTCTGAGTTACAATATTAGTTTTCAGGGAATTGGACAAAAGGGCAACATAAAGCTTATCTGGTTTGTCTACACTGCTTTTCTCAGCCTGTGTGAAAGTGGTTAGTTAAGCGCACTCTTAACAGCCCTGAAGAGGAAATAACTTGTGATTAAAGACTGAAGTATCCCCTTTGATTTATATTCCCCCAATGAAAGCAGGAGCAGTATGTTTTAGCCCCAGTCTGTTTTCTTAAGGTTGCTGAAAGCCCCATTGTACACTTGATGTGGGCAGGCTTTCCAGATGGGCAAGAAGCTACATAATTCTTTGTATTGCATTCCAGACTATGTTACCAGCTTACCAAAGTCACTTTCTAAGTCCATTTCTCAGGGGAATCTTTAATTCTAGATATACAAATGGCTATATCTCACATATATACATATATATATATATATTCCTTATACAAATTTCTCATTTATGACTTTATTTGATCCTTATAACCACATGATGAGATAGATAGGGTCAGCATTATTACTTTTCTATGCACCTTCTCACTCTTGTCCCCTATCCTATTTTTTCAAAGTGAGGAAAAGAAAATTCAGAGATGATGAGAGCAGTCTAGATAGGTCTCACCTAGATATCAAAGCAAGAACCAGGGCTCTTCCTGGTAGATCGCCTTTTGTTGTTCAGTCTCTAAGTTGTTCCCAATTCTTTGTGACCTCATGGACTGCAGCACTTCAGGCTCCTCTGCCCTTCATGGTCTCCTGGAGTTTGCTCAAATTCCTCTCCTTTCTGTTGGTGCTGCTATCCAACCATCTCATCCTGTTCCACCCTCTTCTCCCTTTACCTTCAGTCTTTCCCAGTTTCAGGATCTTTTCCAACGAGTCCATTCTTTGTGTCAGGTGGCCAAAGTATTGGAGCTTCAGCTTCAGCAACAGTCCTTCCAATGAATATTCAGAGTTGATTTCCTTTAGGACTGACTGGTTTGATCTCCTTGCAGTCCATGGACTCTCATGAGTCTTCTCCAGTGCCGTAATTCAACAACATCAAATTTTCAGTGCTCAGCCTGCTTTATGATCCAAACTCTGATCTACCCATAAGTAGTTCCTTTAGGACATAGTGGACATCTCATCTGTATCCAAATGGAAAAGTTAGAGCAGTTTATTTGGAAAATGATGATGTTCTGACCACTCCATATATTTTGTCAGACCACTGGAGACACTCTTTGGATGATACCTCAGTAACAGTAGCTTGTTGGCTGTGTTGCATTAGTCTGGCGAAAGATATAAATTCAATAACTTATGAGAGACTTGCTAAGGGGTAGATGACTGCCAAATTTTGAAAATAATTATTAGAGATTAAAATCTCATCTCTGAAACTAGCTGAAGATGAATTTAAAAGACCCCAACAAGTATTTATTAGAAAAATTAAATGGCCCCTTACTAATAATTAATTGCAGATTTCCAACATCCTGAGTTCAAATTCTGGCACTCCTACTCATAGAGAAATCACCCCTGCAAGTTACTAAACTCTGAGCATCATTTTCCTCAAAACTGTGGGGCTGTTGGAGTATTAAATGCAATTATATATGTGAAAATCATCAATGCTCAGTAAGCAGTAACATTTCATTTCCTTTCTTAGAACCAGCTCTCTTTAAAGTCACCAAGCAGCCTTCCTTAGAACAGGTATTACCAAAGATAAGCTTAAGTAGCTGTAAGAGAGTTTTCAGGCTTCAGTGGATATTAATGTTTTCAGTTTGGAAATAAAACTCAGCCAGTGGAAGCACTCCTTCCCCAGCCCCACTGAGGTGTTTTAGAGTTGGCTTCCCCTCCTCTTGATGATTTCAATACTTCATAGAAGTGAAAATAAAGCCCTTCTTTTAAAAGACAGGGGAGCCCTACTGTAGAGTCTGCACAGAGAGTTTGTTGTTTGGAGTAATTATGGGAAGACTGGTGGCTAACCAGACTCTTTGATTCCTTCTTTCCTTCCTTCCTTCCCCCAACTGCCTGCGTTAGGCAGTCAGCCTCACACCAGCACACTGTGAAGTGACATTCAGTCATGGGGACACTTGCTGAAATATCCCTGGCTAACTTCAGTGATTTCTGGAGAAGCAAGAGCATGCATATTCCAAGTCTTCAATGGAACTCTTAGCTATGCCATTGACTATGACAGATATTCACAAAGAAATGGAAACATGCTTGTTACTCTCAGTGGTTTGCATATGTTAATTATCTCTGTTAATCCTCTCAACATCTGTATTAGATGGTGGTGTTATTTTCTCTCCTGAATCTGAGGAACTGATCCACAGAGGAAGTAAGTAACTGGCCAAAGATCACATGGTGAGGAGTGTGGAGCAGGATTAGAACCCAGGCCAGCTGAACTTTCTAACACAAAATCATGCTGCCTCCCAGGGTAAATGGCAGCTTGACTAATGAGGGGAGCACTATAAGTTTTACCAAATTTTTCCAGCTGACAGGAATATAAAAAACAGTCCATGAGGAGCACTAGCTTTCTATTGAAGAAATCAGAAAGATGGGTGAGCCAGTGAATGGGTTCATATAATCTAGATATACCAGCCCAAATTCAGTTAGAGGCCTGGAGTGAATGAATTTGTCGTAGGTGGCTGTTTGTAAACAAATGGGAAGTAGAGTAGGAAAACAATTTATGTAAATCTCCAGTTTGTATAACAGTGTGGGCCTGTATACAATCCAACCTGGAGGTGTACACATAAGCCAACTCCTCAGCAATTCTTCTAGCACTATCCACAGCATATTTTTAAGGACACAGAAGTCAGTGAATATTTATTCATTATATATTGTGCAAGAATCTATTACTCCTGGACATTGTTAAAGGCTTAGTCTAACTTGGCGTTTAGAATAATACTTCCATGCAGGTTAGCAAAAGGAACAAAGGCTTTGCATTTAAATAAATTTGGGTTTGGACCTGGCTGTGACACTTCTTTTGTCCATAATACTGAGCATGTTACTAAATTTTTCTGATTTTTTTCATTACTTATCTGTAAAATAATGATTATAATTCCAGTTTTTGTGAGGATTAAGAGAGATAACATGAAGAGATGACATGAAAGTGCCTTGGCATAATGTCAGGCACATGGGAGGTACCTACTAATGGTTATTAACTCCCCTTCACTTACCCCTTTTTAGAAGAATTAGGCTCTGAGGAAGAAATTGAGAACAGTGGTCACAACTTTGCTATCACAATTAAAACCTAGAATTAATAAAAACATTCCCTACAATACACTTGGAACTTCCAAATGAAACTCATCATACAACTTTTGGCATTTTTCAAATTGATTTCATCCCTGTGGAAGTCATGGCTGCACAACTCACTGTGCATTTTCCAAATGTTTATTGTTGCCTTTGCAATACCAATTATGTAAGACCATTTTTCATTTTAAAGAAATGAAGAAGTGGATAATTTTCCTTTCTTTAGCACATCTTCCTATACACAGTATTAAATGGGTAAAATATGGATTTTGGATTTAAATAGAACTAGGTTTAAACCCCAGTTGTGTCACTCACTAGTGGGCAATTTCTTTAAATGCCCTCTTTTCTTCTGTAGATAGTCACATCTATCTTATATATTCAGTTAGATATAAATGCTAGCATATATAGTACATATATACATGTTTGATCAGTGATGATTAATATTTTTTATTATTTGGGTTTGCCTAATTAGGAAAATCAGTATATCCTCCTATAGTTTTTCATTAACTACAAAAAGTGTGACCTATGTGTGATTATGTTGTATGTGCGTACATGTGCTCAGTCGTATCAGACTCTTTGCGACTCCATGGACTGTAGCCCACCAGGCTCCTTTGTCCATGGAATTCTCCAGGCAAGAATACTGGAGTGGGTTGGCTATTCACTATATCCATTCACTACTTTGTTGAACCTGTTATCCAAAGAACGAAAAACTAGACAATATTCATTTATTCAGCGAACACTCAAAGGAAGCCTGCTGTGCGTCAGCAGGATGTAAGTCCTGGGGTTATAAGGAAAATAAGATAGAGCTTTATCTTGAGAGTTTAATGTAGGAGAGAGACCCGCACAGATAATTTTCGTGGAATGTGGGGACAGGGACAGGCATCACTACAGGATGCTGCAGAGGGAGGTGCAGAGGAGGCCTGGTGACTGCTGGATCAGCTTCTGACTCTTCTGATGCAAAATCTCACTGTGAAAACTCTGTCCCTAGTATCTTTGTATTCTGACCTTTTCACATTCAATGGCGGGTTAGGTAGAACACTCAAGTAGGAATTAGAGAGGAAGACGTTTGGCCAAGTGGGCAGGGGATATGATGTGCAGCAGGAACTTGCATACCTCCTTGCCGGAGTGGGGAAAGTATATTTTCCCTCCCTCCTCACCTTTCTTTACCTTACTTGTGTTGAAGGCTGAAAAGAATTTGTGTGCTCAATTGAGTCCGACTCTTTGTGACCCCATGGACTGTAGCCCGCCAGGCACCTCTGTCCATGGGATATCCGGGGCAA